AACTTTGTTCGGTATTAATGACCAATTCTAAAATTTTGAAAAAACAATATTTATATTTATGGAATAAAATAAGTTAATAATACATCCGTTTTATTTATAATAATTAATTTTATTTAAAATTTGTTTGAAATATATTAAATTCTAGAGTGATTTATGTTTAATTAATTTATATTATTACAAAAATATATTTGTATAATCATTTAACGATAAGGATAAATTTGCCAAAAAGTATAAATTTTATTCCATTTGATTGTTGTTACAAGTAAACAATATAATCATATTTTAGTCTCTTTTACATATTTTCATTCCCGTCCCCATCTCTATTTCGATTCTCATGCATTCTATAAAGTAAACACCAGTTGAGAGTCTTTTCCATTATAAAAATAAAAATTATAAAAGAATGTCCAGAGCCTAGCAGGTTTAACTTAGCTTGCAGATATGAGCGAAGGAGACACGAGTCGCAACTTCATACAGTCTCATATCTGAGAAAAAAAACATAGATCAAGAATCCATGGCTATTGAAGCAATTATTTGGCTAGCAGGTTTGGAACCTCAATGATGCATGGAGAAATTCTATTTTTCCAATTACTCCAACAATGGAGGCAACATACCTAGAGTTCACGGATAAGCTAGAAGATTCTCTAGAAATCTTGGAAGGTACAGAGGATGACAAAGGAAGTGCTTTGATAGTTGATGACTGGAAGATCAAGCCTCTACAAGCTGTTTATCTGGCAAAGGAAGCCATACACACCTTAGTCCTTACATCTAAGTATAAATTTGCTGAAACAGAAAGGTTTTTTTAGGTCATTCAAGGTGCAATTTCGTTTCAACAACGAGATGAAAAAATGTTTGGATCAGCTGATTGACTCGGTGCCCTTCGAGTTGCGCAAAAGAACTTCTGATGAAAACCGTGAACACAATTTCCAAGCGTACTATGATACTAGCATAAAACGTTGTGAATTTTTGGATGAGATAAATAATGAAGAAGATATTGTTGGTTTCGATTCTGAAATTTCAGAATTAAGAAGATTAATTCTGACTTGTGAGAAGCTTATGATATCGGTGGTGGGCGTGGAAGGCTCTGGCAAGACAACTCTAGTGAAAAGAATTTACAACCTTTCCACAACCGTGCTTGGGTTTATGTTATCTCCAGATTTTAAAGAAAAAAATCTTTTAGTTCAGATATTGAAGCAGGTGGCTGAGGTTAGAGATGAAGAGAAATTGCCACTGGAAAAATTGCAGCAGAAGCTTCGTAATTTATTAAACTTTCAGGGGTACTTAATTGTCTTGGATGATGTCCATGTACCTGCTATATGGGAGAAACTCCAAGTGGTCTTCCCAAACTCATCAAATGGTAGCAGGGTCATCCTAACTACCTGCTATCCTGATATAGCAACTCATATTGATCCAACCATTCCTCTTCTCCGAGTAAATCCACTAACTGAGAACGAAAGTTGGAGTTTGTTTTCGAAAAAGGCCAGAAGAGAACCAGGAGACAAAGTTTTTTCTCAGGGATAGATTTGGGAGAAAATCTTGCTAAAATGTGGAGGTCTACTTATTGCAGTATGTGTGCTGGTTGGCTTTTTGTCTAATATAGAATTTAGCACTGCTGCATGGTTAGGAGTGATTGAGGATACAAAGGGAAAGAAAAAAAGGAGAAGAAAGAGAGGTTGGTGATGATAGCAGGAAAATAAAACAAGTAGCTGGTGGAATGAGTGAGCAAACTCAACATGGAGCTGATGCAACAGGGGAAGAAAATCACCCACAGCTTCCTTAGATGAAAACCATCCTTCAAATATTTTGGCTTTGGCCTTTTATGCCTACCTTCTCCTCTAAGGCCATGTCTCATATATTTATGTCTTTTCCCCAGATCATATGAAATCCCATTAGAAGGTTGCTTCTACTATGGATTGCTGAGGGATTGATGAAAGAATCGTGGGAAAAACCCGAACATCTGGCGGAAAATTGTCTTAAAGAGTTGAGGGGTAGGAACTTGATCGAGGTAGCAAGTTGGAGGTTAGATGGAAGCCCCTAAACATGTTTTATGCCAAGTATTGTATATGGAGGCTCCAAAATATGGAGGCTCATTGCACTATTACTATCAACGAATTACCGAGTACACCCTCAATCGCAAACACCCAAAGAATCACTCTCAAGCACCTTAATCTTTCAACCCCTTACACCGTAAATCTACAACCCTAGAGAAACCTATTCTTGCTTCTCTGCCGTTGAAAGAAACACAATTTCCAATCGGATTTACAACAAGATTTACACAAGAGATGAACCCTAGCAGAGCGAATACAATCGCAAAAATACACAAAAGAGCAACTGTGCAAATTTGGGCGATTAAGCTTCTTTTATCTTGTTGACCATCAGGAGTCTTTTCAGCCATTGGATCAGTCACAAATCAAGGGCCAAGATTGTAAAGCATAATAACCAAAACTGCAGTGTGTTACTACAGCTCAAAATGACGCCGTTGTGGGCTTCATATATTAACAATACTGTCTCTCTCATTGCTGCGAGAATATTTTCACGTCCATTCTCACTCAGATTCGACTTCTAAATCACCAAACTTAAACATCCAGGGGGTTGTCGAATATGTAGACATCGAGAAGGATTCTTTTTCAGAGGCTTGTAGAATATGTAGACCTCAATATCTCTCTGCACTCAATCCAACCAACCTGACCTTTCCACTTCTTCTGACTCCACCACCGACCCTTTGCTCTTCAAGCTCAAGGACGCCATCCACCTTCTCAAACCCAACTAATAAACAAACCCTAGAAACAGCCATCAGCCATGGCCACCACCACCACCACTTCTACCTCCTTGTCATCAGAAGGAGACGCTCTTTTCACCTTTAGAAAAGCTTATCAGATCCAGATAACGTCGTTCAAAGTGGGATCCCACGCTTGTTAAGCCCTGCACTTGGTTCCACATCACTTGCAATCAAGACAATCCATTTTTGGTAAGTGAGTTTTTAATTTCTGATTTTAATGATGCTTAAATTGCTGATTAATGGGCTTCAACTGAGGCAATTTCCATTTCAATTACATATTACTGATGAGCGTCTGATAATTTATGCAGGGATTTAGGTAATTCAAATCTGTCTGGACATCTAGTTCAGGCGGTAATATAGCTCACCATGTTGCGGTTAGGGCAGCCGAAGCTGAAGCAGAAACTGAACCCAAGATTGAAGTACTGGAGAATATTCTACTTCGCCCAGTGTTTGGCGGAGAAAAGAGAACTGAATCAGAGAACAGATTGGATGGCAAATACACATTAACAAGAACTCGTTTCATTAGTTTTTATAAGAATCTCGTTTTTTATTTTCCGGGTAAACTCACTTGTTCAGCTCTCTTTTGCTTATTCTTGATAAATATCTTAGAACACATTGACAAGAACCATAATTTTATAATTTTTGGTGAATTTGCCCATAGATTTATGTGGTTCTTGTCTCGTCTCTTTCGATTTTCTTTTGCTGCCTAGTTTGTGTTGCTTTGTGAAGCTGCTGATGTTTTGATGCTCTTGGTGCTGCTTTGGAGTGGTGTTGGGTGCTGCTGGGTTTTTTTTTATGCTGGCTACTGGGTTCTTTGCTTATCCTTTGTGTAGTTGCTGCTGGTGTTTTTTTCCTGGTTTTATTTGCTTTGTTTTGCTATGTTTGGGCTCCCCTTACTTTGATCTGCTTTGGGTTGAGTTGCTTGTAAAGGTTTGAGTCTGGTACTAATGAGGATGGGAGTACTTGGTACAGAGAAAGTGGGGAGGACTTGGGCGAGACTGGATTTCACAACAGAACAGTCTTCAGTCTTTGCGGTTGAAATCAGTGGATGACAATAATAAACCTTCACACCTCCATTTTCCATCCATGTTGAGTCACACAATGCTGTCAAACTTGTATTTGGTTGGAATGATCAATCGACTTGACATAGAAAAACTTAACCGAAATCTCAGAGTCCTTACATTGTCAGGGTCTCATGTATCAGAAGACCCAATACAGACACTAGAAGGGCTGGAACACCTGAAAGTGCTCAGGCTTTTCGCTAATTCCTACTCAGGGAAAAAGATGCATTGTCGTATTGGCAGCCGTACATTTCCCCAACTCCAGGTATTGAAGTTATGGATGCTAACAGAGTTGATAGAATGGACTATTGTCAAAGGAGCCATGCCTGCCCTACGAGATTTGGAGATTGGATGCTGCAAACGTCTGGAGAAGTCAATTGGGTTGGAGAATGTTACAACTTCTCTAAAGGAATTGACCTTAACTAATATGAAGGATTTTGTAGATGGAATTAAAGAAGCGTTGGCGAAAACGTAGTCGTTATTGAAAATGACTGGTAACTTTCAACCTCTATTTGTGAGTAGTTTTCATAGTTTTTATCTTTTAACGTTTATCGTCTTGTTCGTCTGACATTGTTCATATTATTGTGTTTAGCTGCTGTTTTCATCTTTTAAAGTTTATTCTTCTTCATTTGAAACCCGATGTGAGTTTCTGGTTTTGTGTTCCCGTCTCAGGATTAAACAATCACCGATGCAAGGAGTCTCTGTCGAAATGCAATGCTTTGTGAAGAATTCCATTAGTTAAATTTCTTGACTAATTAAACAAGTGTAAGTTTATAATTGTGTAAGCCATATTTTTCAAATTAAATTCTTAATTATTGATTATTAACCTTCTTCTAAATCCTGTAATTATAATCAAGAGGATTGAGATAAGGATATACACAGTGGAATCTAGGGTTTCTTCAATAAAATTATATTTCAAAGAGGATCCAGGAAATTAATTAATATAATAATTTGAGTAAATTAAACTTGTTAGAAAGAGGATTAACAATTGAATTTGTATATTGCATAACGAGATTAGATGTATAGTCAATTCAATTTAAACACATGATTTCAACGCCCAAAACAACATCACATCCTAGATTTTATAATTTTATCACCCATCAGTCATATGAATATATAATTCATTAATAAAAAATAAGATAAAATCTCTAAATTTTGTTGTCATCTAAAGTATTACTCGGTAGGCTTTCTTCAAGCATTAACATTATTCATTAATAAATGCATTATTTGAAATTACAAAACATTTGGCACCTTGAAGAGAACATCAAAACATGCAATTTTGTAAGATATTTACATATAATCCGACTAACTATTTCATGATCAAATCACTTATAGAGATGATCTACAACAAAATAGTAACAAGATGTTGTCCACAACTCAACAATATAAAACCATCTACGACGCCAATGAGGGTTTATCAACAAAACTACAACAATCCCTAAGAGCATAACTATGTAGGACACAACAAAACTGATATAGAAGACATTCATATCAATGAAATCATTGTCTTCTCCAGTAATACTTGAATATTTTGGTTGTGATTCAATTGCATTGCAACTTTTGGGCAATGGTTGTCCACAAAGAAATGGATTTCCCTCGTAGCTACTTTCTTCAAAGGTTCCAAATTGTGCAATCCTATCAGGGAGTTTGCCTGATAAATTATTGTGTGCCACACTAAAAACAGCCAAATTATTTAACTCAACAAGCTGGGGAGGGATTTTCCCAACCAAATTGTTGTATGAAAGATCTAAACTCTCGATCTGCTTGAGATTTGAAAATGTTAATGGGATTGGTCCTGTCAAGTTGTTGTGAGAGAGGTTAAGTGTATGGATTCCGACAAGATTTCCAATTTGATGAGGAATCATACCAACTAACTTGTTGTTGGAGAGATCAATTCCAGACATGTAGCTAAGAATTCTTCCTTGGTAAGAGTAAGATCTAGTCTTCGTTGTAAACTCTACAGTTTCTCCCTGTCTAAAAGAGATACTTCCAACCATTTGAACAAAAGGTACATAATCATTTGATGTAACAGTGACTATTGTGATATTTAAACAATCAGGGATATGCCTAGAAAGCTTGTTGTGAGAAAGATCTATCAAACGTAATTGACTTAACTTACACAAACGAATTGGCACTTCACCTTGAAAATTGTTATTACTCAAGATAAGGTAAGTTAAATTAGAAAGCGTACCAATCCAATCAGGAATGTTGCTTTCAAAGTGATTATATCCAATATCTAGCGTCGTTAGAGAAGAACTATTGGATAATGCATCATTCAGTTGTCCTTGTAACTTATTTTTTGACAAATGAACTTGTTTAATTGAGGAAGGCGGAAAGCAAAACGGTAAACTCCCAGTAATATTGTTCTCTGAAAGGTCTAATACTTTAAGACTTTCTAGTTGACAAAACTCCAATGGGATTGGACCTTCAAGATGATTCTTTGAGATGATAATTTCCACCAAAGATGACTTATTTCCTAACCACCTTGGTAATGTGCCAACAAGATGGTTATCACTTATATACAACCCTTCCAATGAGCAATTAGACAAACTATCTGGGATCTTTCCAGTGAAATGATTGCCATCCAATTGTAAATATAACAAGTTTTTCAGGTTAAAATTTGTAGGGAATATCTGACCTTGCAAACTATTGTTTGACAAGGCAAGGATTTGTAATGAGATGCAACCCATGGCCAAATGCTCAGGTATTCCTCCAGTCAACAAATTGTTAGACAAATCCAAAAACTCCGACGACTTCATGTCACCAAACGAAGAGGGAATGCTACCATTTAAAGCATTTCTAGAAATGTTTAAAGTTTGTAGCATTGGTAGATAAGCTCCAAATTCTGTTGGAATATGCCCATGGAAGGAATTGATGGATATATATAATTCTGTCAAAGACATGTGAGGATGAATGGGTAATTGCAAAGGCCCTGAAAGAGAATTATTAACTAGAATAAGGCTTTCTAGCTTGGTATTGTTGTTTAACAACCAAACTGGAAACTTTCCCTTCAAATTAATGCCATAGAGATAAACCCATTGTAAGTCATGCTGACTGTAGAGAAATTTGGGAAATAAAACATTATATCCACAATTGGATAATGTGATGGCATTTAATTGAAATTTTGGAGCCAGATATTGTGACTCAATTCCTACATATATTTCATTACTATCACCATAGAACATCTTAAGCTTTGAGTGGTTAAAAAATGGTTCAAGGGAAACAGGGATATGAAAGTGATTGTCTGCAAGGCTTAAGTATTGGATGGATGTCAACACCTTAAGGGGAGATAAGGAGATGTTTCCTGTAAAATGATTTGATGAGATATCAAAAAATTGAAGGGAAGTCAAGTTTGCTAGACACCAAGGCAAGGTACCCGTAAAATGATTTGATGAGATACGTAGATGTTGAAGGGAAGTCAAGTTTGCAAGACACCAAGGCAAGGTACCCGTTAAACCGTTGGCCACGATGTCTAGGTATTGAAGATGAAGCATCTTACAAATTCCTGAAATAAAAATGTTCCTTAATAGTTACTATATGAAGCACAAGGGTAATAATAGTCATGCAAATGTTACTTAATCAATCTGCTTAATAATTATTGTAGTGCACAAATATAATAAATATACTAACTATGTGCGCTATTTTTTTTCTTTTTTAATAGAATTATATACATAAATTATAAATTTTACTTGTAAAGAGATAGAAAAGTTACTAACCTTTGTCAAATAGAGTGTCACCGCTTACGTTGAGGTTACTACTAAAAATTTCAATATATTGAAGAGAAGTCATACCCCCAATCATTTGAAGAAAGTTGTTGTTAAAAACAGTTTCGTAAATAGTTAAATATGTCAGATTCTTGAACGAAGGCAACTCTACAAAAGCACAAAAATAGATAAAATATTGTTCAATAATCTACACCAATTATTTAATATTCTAAATTGAAAAGAACATTCAATATGGTATAGGGCTAAACTAGAATAAAAATTTAGCAGGGTTAAATAAAATCTTAAATACAAATATATATATATATATATATGTATATTTCAAGGTTTTTGACAATTTCATGTGAGTATTTAAAAATTGTAAGAGATCTTTGAGACATCTAAGACTTTATCATCTTTTAAGTTGATCATAAATCCTAACCTTTCTTAATTAGTTTGATTTTGCTGCTTTGAACAGGTAATGTTGGTTGCAATTTCTTCTGTAATGTTGGGTTAGATATCCATCTTTCTTTGTTTCTTTAGTCTCAAAAACAACCTTTTTAGACTTTCTATGGGACCTCTCAAACTTTACCAAATCAAATAAACAATGCACCACTTTAAATTCTCAAAAAGGATATTTCAACTAAAATTTACGTAATACAGCACTGCCCAGTAGCGGCTTGAAAAGCCCATATGATTTTGGAAAATTGATGTGAGCTATAAGCACCTTGGCATTTTAGTGGAGAGCCTCCTTGGAAAGTAAAACGGTTCTTTCTCATATCTCTTTCTTACATTTTCTTTTTGCATTATATAAGATATTTTTCCTCATATTTGTATGCATCGAATATATATATATATATATCACTTCTTATGGGAGGCTTGTTACTTTTTTTATTAATAGATTTGGTACTTTAGTGCAGTAATAATGTTTATTTATGTTTATGACATTATTAATTTTTAATTATAAATTATAAATTTTACTTGTAAGGAGAAGGAGAATGAGAAGTTACTAACCTTTGTCAAATAGAGTGTCACCACTTAAGCTGAGGTTACTACTTGAAATGTCAATAAATTGAAGAGAAGTCATACCCCCAATCATTTGAAGAAAGTTATTGTAAAAAATAGTTTCGTAAATAGTTAAATTTGTCAGATTCTTGAACGAAGACAACTCTACAAAAGCACAAAAGTAGATAAAATATTGTTCAATAATCTACACCAATTATTTTAATATTCTAAATTGAAAAAGAATATTCAATATGGTACAGGGCTAAACTAGAAAAAAAAATTCAGCAGGGTTAAATAAAATCTTAAATACAAATATATATGTGTATTTCAAGGTTTTTAAAAGGCTTTTGACAATTTCATGTGAGTATTTAAAAATTGTACGAGATCTTTGAGACATTTAAGACTTTACCGTCTTTTAAGTTGATCATAAATCCTCATCTTTCTTAATTAGTTTGATTTTGTTGCTTTTAACAAAAGGGTAATGTTGGTTGCAATTCCTTCTACAATTTCTTAAAAAGGAGTCCATACATTTTATCTAGTCTCAAAAACAAACAAACAACCTTTTTAGACTTTCTATGAGACCACTTTAATTCTCAAAAAGGATATTTCAACTAAAATTTACCCATGAATTTTGTGAACCAATTTCAATAAAATATTTTACTACATTTATATCCTTAATTAAAATAGGACATGGGGTTAAGCTGATAATAAAAAAAATTAAAAAAAAAAGGATGGGCTAAAAAGCATATCTTTATTACAGAATGTAGCATGACCAATAGCAGCTTGAAAAGCCCATGATTTAGGAAAATTGATGAGGGCTACAAGCACCTTGGCAAATTAGATGAGGGCCTCCTTAGAAAGTAAAACGGTTCTTTCTCATATCTCTTTCTTATATTTTCTATTTGCGTTATATAAGATATTTTTCCTCATATTTTGTATATATATACTTCTTGTGGGAGGCTTGTTACTTTTTTTATTAATAAATTCGGTACTTTAGTGCAATAATACTATTTATTTGTGTACATGACATTATTAATTTTTAATTAAAAATTAAAACTTTTACTTATATGGGGAAGGAGAAGTTACTAACCTTGGTCAAATAGAGTATCGCTGATGTTGAGTTCACTACTTGAAATTGCAATAAATTGAAGAGAAGTCATACCCCCAATCATTTGAAGAAAGTTGTTGTGAAAAATAGTGTCGTAAATTTTTAAATTTATCAGATTCTTGAACGAAGACAACTCTACAAAAGCATAAAAGTAAATAAAATATTGTTCAATAATCTACACCAATTATTTTATTATTCTAAATTGAAAAGAACATTTAATATGGTATAGAGGCTAAACTAGAAAAAAAAAATCAGCAGGGTTAAATAAAATCTTAAATACAAAAATAAAAAAGATAAAATTACATTAATAAAGAAAGAAGAGAAATAAAGTTGTTTTCATTTTAATAAGTGTGAAAACAATAAAATGTATGTTTAAAGAGAAAAATGTTAGACTTAAAAATAACTTTAATTAATACATCCTTAGTGTTTCAAAAAATAAATGATCTATAAATCAGTTTTCAATTCATACAACTAATCAATTCCCATCAAATCCTTTAATAAAAAACAAAATTCAATTTTTTTTTTCATTTTATTTTGTGGAAATTGTAAATAATATGGAATGAATCCTAAAAGTTATCTTTTGTTAATGAATGCTAGACTAGAGTTTTAATTCCACTTTTCAGTTTTCTTGACCATTATTTACAAATTATTTAAACTTTCAGGTGACGTAAATGCTCCAATGCTTCGAAGAAAGTTTATATGGAAAGTAGAATAATAGAAGCCGAAGGCTACTACTCTGTTGAAAATGCAGAATAAATTTTAGGAAAGTTATTGTGTAATTATGAAAATGATTTAAAGGCAAAACAAATTAATATACTTACTTCCAATATTATTGTAACTTACCGTTAGTAGTAACCGCTCCACTAAAGTTGCTTGACTTGAATTCAATAGACTTTAGGGATGGGAATAAGCCCAATGTCTGTAAGAGACCGCTTCCATCACTAATACTCACATTGTTTAGACCAAAAAGAGTCAACTTCCTCAAATTTGTTTCACCTGTGTGTTTGTGAAAATATTCAAACACAAATATTTTCAATGCTTTCTCGTATTGAAAAACAAAGTTCTTTAAATTTATTTGATTTAATAATTAGAATAAAAATACCTAGTACGTATGTGCTATTGTGCGTCTCATAAAGCAAAGCAATATTGGTAAGGGATGAGAAATGTAAGTTTAAATATTATTAACCATCAATAAATACCTTTGGAGAATACAATTTTTTTAATCTCATTTCCGCCCATTTGCAACTCCTCTAAGTTGGTCAAGGAGTCCAATTCTAGCAAGAGTTAAAACAAAGTGATTAAAACTAATAAAAAAACATTTAAGAAGACTTTTAATTTCGTTGAAGGCAATGACAAAGTCCTTTAATGGTGAAAGACCAACTAGAGATATGATAAGATGCTATTAAAACATTTTTATCAACAAAATTAATTAACAACTTTCCTTAAGCCAACATTAATTACTTCCAAATATCCATAGGCTTCAATATTGTCTTCCTAAATGAATATAAGTTTTATCCCTTTTGGCAAATCTCATTTCTGCTCAACTACTCTACCTTCTTTGTGTTGGTCAAAGAGTTTAATTATACAGTTAGCTAAAACCATGAGAAAATGAAGAAGATGTTTGGACTGAGTAAACTGAAGTTTCTGAAAGAATCTTATTCAAAGCTTTTAATTTACTTGATTGCAATATCTCCAACTCTAGTTTGACAAAGCAAAGAGAGAGAGCATTCAATATAGAATAAATTGTTACACATTAGAGAAATTAAAGATGAGAAGCAAGCTTACCTTGAAGATCAACAATGCCTTTTAATCCGATGTCATTAAGATCTAGTGCCTTTAATGATGAGAGAGTAGACACATATGATAATATGCTATTGTTTAACATGTTACCGCTTAAGCTCAGAGACTCCAAGTTACTCAATCTTGAAACTGAAATCAACACATATAATAATAGTAATAATAATAACTATACATAATTTTGTGTATCAATCTTAAATGTAAAAGTGATAATAAAAGTTATGTAATATGAAAGAACATTACCAATAAAATGGTTTAGTTCTCTAAACTGATTATAATCTAGATATAAATTCTTGAGAGATGAATGTTGGCTCAAAGCTGATAAAACGTGGCTGTCATTGAACATATTGTATCTAAGGTCGAGAACCACGAGATTAGTCAAGTGTGATAATCTTTCAAAACCTACAAAGCAATTCTTGTTAATAAAGACATGGAAGTAAAATTTCATTATTTAAAAATGAGGATGGAATAACCTTCATTCTCAACGCAACCGACTATGAGATTGCGACGTAAGTAAAGTGTCTCCAGTTCTTGGAAGGGAGAAAACAAAGAAACATTTAGATACCACTCTCCTAATTCTTGATTTCTTGTAGAGTAAAGATCAAGAGAGATCACTCTTCCCGTTTTGCTATTGCAAGTAACACTTTCCCAGTCACAACAGTTTGAATTTCCATTTCCCTCAAACCAATTTTGAAGATGGGTAGGATCATTGAAGAAATGTTTAAGTTGAAAGAGAGCAGATCTCTCTTGCTTCAAACACCCCTCAATCCTCCATCCTTGTAAAGAAATAAACATCAAAATCAACATCAGCCACATCCTCACACATTTTAAGCCCATCTCTTAATAACACACTAATTGCACTGCTTCTGTGACTACTAAAAGATTAGCTTTGTGCTATTTATAATATTAGTGGATCTCAATATTGTATAGACTAAAAACATAAAAGTATTGCCTTTTCAGTTAACAACATTTGCTATAGGACACAAAAGAGGTCAATAAAGGCAAAATTAATGCTGGTCCCCACTGTTGTGGAAGGAAAATTCCCATTGACTGCAACTAGGTTGGAAAAATCAAATTACACGGTTTGAGACTGTTTCCTCTACCATAACTAATTTAATTAAGTAATATTATATTGTTAAATAAATTATATGAAACATTTTATTTTTATATTGTCATATAGTGTGTTGTTTAGGGAATCAATTTCTTTATATTTAATCATTTTAATTTATACACATCCAGATAGTATATATGAAAAGGTATAGGCGCATAACCACTTTTGAAATAAAGTTAATTATTAATCACTTTTGAAGATAAATTATAAGAACAATATTTGGTAATATTTTTTATGAGTCAAGGTCAACCAAAGTAACAAGTTTCTTAGAATATCTCTATACATTATTGCTAGAAATCTTTTTCTACCCAATTGTTTTCTTCAATTATAATTGATGAACAATTCAATTTAGGTTTTTAATCCTATTACATTGGACAGATTAGTGTTCATGAGATCTTTCGCTCCTTTTTTCTAAAGATTTATTATAAGTTTATATCCTTGTTTCCATTGTGTATGAAATGAGCTCAAATTATCTTATCTTCTCTTACTTCATTTTATTGCTTTTTGTTCTTGTGGGTATTGGCTCTTACAATTTTCAATTTCTAAATGGTTTTTTATTTTTGTAGGACCAAGTTGTGAAAAAAATGTTTGTGGAAAACCAATTGTCACAGGTCATAACATCTATTTCATGAAGACTTACTCAAATATCGTAACTCTTGGAACTTGATGCAATTTCTATACTTGATTTTCCAATGAGACAAAAAGTCTACCCAAAATTTATTTAATGTAGGGCCAGCCGGCCAGGTTGTATATTTCATAAAAACTTACTCAAATATCATGACTCTTAAAACTTGATGCAATTTCCATACTTGATTTTCTAATGAGACAAGAAGTCTTCCCAAAATTTATTTAATGTAGGGCCAGCCGGCCAGGTTGTATATTTAACGAAGACTTACTCGAATATCATGACTCTTGAAACTTAATACAATTTCCATACTTGATTTTCCAATGAGACAAGAAGTCTACCCAAAATTTATTTAATGTAGGGCCAGCCGGCCAGGTTGTGGAAGAAAGGATGGGAAATCCATTTATCTTATTTTAATTATTAATCCGGGTTCAGTATCTAAATTAGAACAGACAAATAGATAATCCAAGTTGAGTACCTAGATTCATGAACAAATGCATGTAAATTAGGACAGACAAATAGATAATCCGGGTTGAGTATCTAGCCAAACTACTTACTCATAAACAACTCCTTGCATCAAACCAACTTGGCATAATCCTAGTGAGTTTACTTGAACTAAATTTTGACAGAATCATCAGATTCAAGGAACGACTGGACGATGAAGAGACTTCTATCTTCCTCCCATCTTCATCCAGAAAAATGTACTATGTGATGAGAATATCAATGTCACCAACTATTTATATTGACTAGTACAGGTACATGGATGCAGTCCCTTTGTTATGATCTGAAATCTGGTTTCACCATAAGATAACATATACCTCCGGCACCAACACTAATTTGTTCAACGATCATTCAGATGCAGCTCTGTTTTTGATGGTGAAGTGTTGAAACTTTTATCGTCCTCTTTAAGTACCATACACTAATTGGGGTATTTGCAGACACAGCATTCAGATCTTGCAGTCTAAAAAAGGGCCGGAAAGAAACTTGTAGCAATCATGTAGCTCTTCTTTGCGCATTCACAAGTTAGAGTTTGTCATGGGTTGTAACTACCTCATCTGTCAAAATCAAATACAAGAAAAAATGTTCATACAAAATTCTGAAGACTTCTAAAACACATTGACATGGGGAAAGAAAACAGAAGACAGTGACTGATATAAAAAAAGCAAAATGGAAGTAATAGCCAATATTTCTTGTTTTTGTAAACCACTTCATAACAAGTTCATCTTGAATCTAGGATGAGAGGTCACACATTCAATTTTCATCTGGAATCACAGGTTTAATGTTTTGTCCAATGGAGATCACAGATTGGAAAGAAATTTGAGTCTTATCCTAATTGACACAAGCATGTAAATTTTGTGATCCAATCATAATAGAAGAGTAGTTTAACAGTTACAAAAGAAAAGAAAAAAATGAAGCAGCACAAAAATTATCATCACAATCCAATTGCAGGATTCCATTCATTTTACTCAAATTGAAATAAACGTGTTCTATATATCAAATAGGATATAGTGTGAAGTGTAAACTGGCTTTTTCTCTCTAAGAAGCACTATTACTATGAACATTATCCCAATCATTTAAGAAGACTTTGTCTAGATTCCTATTAATGACAAAAGGAAAAATATGCGCACCAGGATATGATCCTCAGGGGGTTCTTCAGTCCCTGCAAGAACAACCAGAATTGTCATACCTAAGATCCTAAGTTCATACGACAAGGTTTGCAGACAGTGAAAAATTGAAGAGGAAAGTTAACATCAAGGGGATGACATAGCACCCAACACATACATACATGAACCAGGAAGAAATTTCCATGCTGATAACTACAGGGGAATGAATATCTCCGAATACATTTAGCAAATAAATGTATATCAAGGAAGAAAAAAGAAGACCAAAAAGAATACTGGATTTACATTATGCAGAAGAAATAAGAATAAGATTATGTGTTATATTACTCTTTCCTAAGACGTTACTTATTTATCAACTAAATATCAATTGTAGCTGAAAATGTTTTAGAGGTAAAGATATATTACCTTTTCCATATAGGTACCACAGAAGAGACCACGAAGCAGCCTCATCAAGCAGGAGCTGAGCTTTCTGCCTCATCAACTTGTCCTCCACAACCCTCAACTGTATGTTGGACCCATACCTGCAAAGCCAACAAACAAAATGAAGTCAAATGGCCCCCCCAACGCACTGATATTACCTAATAAGCTAAAGATTTTATCCAATATACTCCATGAAGTAGACAGCAGTGAGTATTCCATTTATATCTAAAAATGAACAAGAAGATGCAATGAATGAGGCCAATCATTTCCAACTTGCTAAAATGCCAGTGTATCCATTAATGTAACCAGGGAAACAAATCAATTTGACAAAAGGGAGAATCACAGACACTACCTTAATATAAGGAAAGATGTAGGCTACTGTAATTTTGTCCTACCATGACATCAAATGTCATGCATACAAGAAATACAGAACCCTGAAAAAGCATAATAGCACTCACCTAATTGATTCAGATATCATTCCGCATGATCTTTCAAACCTTAAAATCAGATCTTGTATAGGCATTAACCCTGCCAACACAAATTCAAGTAAATGTATAGAAAAATGCTACTCGGAGCTATGGGCAGGGTGAAAACCACAAACATGTTGAAAGTGAACAGTTGAGAGCAAAAAAATATAATTTAAACCACAGCATCTCCTGCATAAAAACAAATGTGCTTCTTTGAATAATTTCCTTATGCTCTCTACAACTGTCTACCATTCATCAAAATAGAAAACAGCAGTACAGGATCTTATAAACTTAATATAAATATATATCCTCAGGAAATTAGGATTTTATATCTAAAGCCTGGTGTTGATAAAATATCCCCTCCCCTAAAACAAATGATAAACCAGAAATAAGAAGGTTTTTGATACAACACGTGAAGTGCGAGTGTACAAGAAGCGTGGGAAGGAGCACCAGGGGATCAATAATATTAAAAGAAGCAACTAAATGTGAATTAGGGTAGTGGACAGGTGGCGAAAGATTATTGGAGGAAGGGTAAATTCTTTTACAGGAAGAAATGAATAAAAGGAGCACAGAGGTAAATAGGCATCGAGAAGAAATTGGGAAAAGGGGAGGTAGCTGGCCCTCGAAGTCCAGCATATCGGTTTCTGTTATGTTCTAGCTTGGTTTCTCTATATTCAGTGTAGTTAATTAATTCCAGTAGTTCTGTTATTTAGAGAAGATCTAGAGTGTGTAAACTGAATTATCAATGAAATACCTCACCTCTGTTATTTGGAACTCTAGAGGTTACTATAAACTGCTGTTTGTTTCGTTTTTTGAGCTATTGTAGGTGTGAGTGATTGAGAATCTGGGTAGGTTCGCATCAAATTGGTATCAGAGCAGGTGTGTGTGTGGGTTATGGTAGCAACAAGAATGGAATCTAGCTTGAAAATGTGGAACGGGAGGTAACGAAATTGGGCGGGGATATGGGGACAATTCGTGAATGCATGGTAGAGATACAGAGTTGGATGAGGAGAAAGATGAAGAAGAAGCTGGGCGTGAGGAACAAAATGCATCTAGAAACATGAGAAATCAGGAAGGGGAGAATCAAAACAGAGTAAGTGGATCAGGGAGTTTGGGACAAAGTCAAAGTGAGTTAGGAGGAAGAAAACTGGAATTACCCATTTTCATGGGTGAAGATCCTTACGGGTGGATCTTTAGATTAAAGATATTTTCTCTGAATGGAATTCCTGATGATGTAAACTAACAGCTGCGGCAGTGTGCATGGAAGGGGAAGCCATTAACTGGTATCAATGGATGGAAGTCAGAGCACCTGTAACCTCATGGCCATCGTTTAAACTTGCTTTAATTCAAGATTCAGCGGATCTCAAGAGAGTAACCCTTATGAACTCAATGGCCCGGAAGCAAAACAGTACAGTCGCTGATTACAAAAAGATTCGAAGCTGTAGCTGCTTTGTTGGTGGAAGAGAAGGAAGAGATCCTGAACGCTGCGTTTCTGAATGGGTTAAAGGCAGAAATTCGGGCTGAGCTGAGGTTGATCCAGCCCATTTCTCTTCTTCAAACAATAGAAAGAGCCCACAGAGTAGAGGAACGTAATTGGGCTTTAGAAGAACTTAAGACAGGTCCAGCAAGAGCCAATAGGTGGAATGGGCCAGGATTAAATGTCGGGTCAAACCATTTGGGATCCAGGAGTTTTAACCCGATATCCACAACCCGACCCGGAGAATCAATTAAAGCCCCAAATTTAACTGAATCCCTAAAATCAAACTCCTTCTCAAATTCTTTCTCCAATTCGTTCTCCAATTTCTCAAATCCTGGGCGAAGAAACGTAAAGGGTACTGTCGTGGGTTCATCCATGAATTCCTCTCCTCGCGAGTACACCTCTACAAACTTCAAATCTTTCGACAGAAACCATCCACCGCGACGAGAGTTTCCCTTTCGAAAAATGACGGAGGCCGAAATACAGAGGAAAAGAGAAAAAGGGTTATGTTTCAAGTGTGATGGGAAGTATTTCTTTGGCCATAAGTGTGGTGAGAAGCAATTTCAAGTAATCCTTGTTGATGAGGAAGAAGAAGATTTGGATCCAGGGGACTTGGAAACCAGTGAAGGAACGACGACAGAACAAACCCAAGGTAATGTTGAACTTTCCCTTAGCTCGGTTGTGGGAATCAATGGCCCAAAAACGATGAAGTTGAAGGGCAGTATTATGGGTCAGGAGGTTATTATCTTGATTGACAGTGGGGCTTCCCACAATTTCATTAGCCGAGAGTTGGTTGAGAAGCTGGGTATTGCTGTAGAAAGAACACAGGCNCTAGTATCAATGGATGGAAGTCAGAGCACCTGTAACTTCGTGGCCATCGTTTAAACTTGCTTTAATTCAAAGATTCAGCGGATCTCAAGAGAGTAGCCCTTATGAAACTCTTATGGCCCTGAAGCAAAACAGTACAGTCGCTGATTACAGAAGAAGATTAGAAGCTGTAGCTGCTTTGCTGGTGGAAGAGAAAGAAGAGATCCCGAACGCTGCGTTTTTGAATGGTTTAAAGGCAGAAATTCGGGCTGAGCTGAGGTTGATCCAGCCCACTTCTCTTCTCCAAACAATATAGAGGGCCCATAGAGTAGAGGAGCGTAACTAGGCTTTGGAGGAGCTTAAGACAGGTCCAGCAAGAACCAATAGGTGGAATGGGTCTGGATTAAATGTCGGGTCAAGCAATCTTGGATCCCGGAGTTTCAACCCGACCTCAACCTGACCCGGGGATTCACTAAAAGCCCCAATTTTGACTGAATCCCTAAAATCGAATTCTTTCTCAAATTCATTCTCAAATTCAATCTCCAATTCATTCTCAAATTCCGGGCGACGAAACGTAGATGGTACTGCCGTAGGTTCATCGGTGAATTCCTCTCCTCGCGAATACACCTCTACAACCTTCAGATCCTTCGACAGAACCCATCCACCGCGATGTGAATTTCCTTTTCGAAAAATGACGGAGGCCGAAATACAAAGGAAAAGAGAGAAAAGGGTTGTGCTTCAAGTGTGATGGGAAGTATTTCTTTGGCCATAAGTGTGGTGAGAAACAGTTTCAAGTAATCCTTGTTGATGAAGAAGAAGAAGATTTGGATCTGGGGGACGTGGAAACCAGTGAAGTAGCGACGACAGAACAAATCCAAGGTAATGTTGAACTTTCCCTTAGCTCGGTTGTTGGAATCAATGGCCCAAAAACAATGAAGTTGAAGGGAAGTATTATGGGTCAGGAGGTTATTATCTTGATTGACAGTGGGGCTTCCCACAATTTCATTAGCCGAGAGTTTGTAAAGAAGTTGGCTATTGCTGTAGAAAGAACACAGGCGTTTGGAGTGAGAGTTGGAGATGGATATAAAGTCCGATGTGAGGGAGAGTGTAAGGCAGTACGTTTGGAAGTCCAGAGGGTACAAATAATTCAAGATTTTTTTCCCTTTGACATGAGTAGTGCAGATGTAGTGCTAGGCATGGCTTGGTTGGAAACATTAGGGGAAACTACAATGAATTGGAGGAAGTAGGTAATGAAATTTAAATTGGGTGAGGAAACGGTGACAATTATAGGGGATCCTGCACTTAGCAAAACAATGGTTTCCTTGAAAGCCATGATTAGAACGTTGAGGAGTGAGGGAACTGGATATATGGTTGAATTTGGGCAGCTGCAAAAACAGTCAGATGAAGAGGCCAATGTCAGTAGCAAGCTGCTTCCATGTCAATAGAAGGCCATAAATTATGCCATAAATTCTGCATTGTTAATAGCTATTAATCTAGGCTGTATATACTCTCATTAATAGGAGAGGAGATTGATTTAGCTTACCATGTTTAGCTTCCTAAAATCACTCTATGTAATTAGCATGTACAGATTTAAGTTTCCTTGTATAACTGGCAGTCTTGCCTATATAATGAAAGATCTTCTGAAAAGAAAGAGAATTCAAACCATTTTGTTATTCCAGTGTTAGAAAAATTCAGATCTGTATTTGAGCCTTTACCGGAATTGCCCCCTAGTAGACCCCAGGATCATGCAATTCGGTTAATACCAGATGCCCAACCCCCAAACCTTAGGCCTTATAGATATCCGTTTTACCAAAAAAAAAAAACGAAATTGAGAAGATCATTGGGGAGATGTTAGCCTCAGGAATTATTAAGCCTAGTATCAGTCATTTTTCCAGTCCGGTGCTGTTTGTTAAGAAAAAGGATGGTGGTTGGAGGTTTTGTGTAGATTATAGGGCACTCAATAAACTGACCATCCCCGACCGATTTCCTATTCCGGCCATTGATGAATTGTTCGATGAACTTGGGGGAGCTGAGGTATTTTCCAAGCTGGACTTAAAGTCAGGCTACCACCAAATCAGAGTGCGATCTGAAGACAAGCACAAGACGGCTTTCCGCACTTATGAAAGGCATTACGAATTCCCAGTTATGCCCTTCGGATTGACCAACGCCCCATCCACATTCCAAGCTTTGATGAATGAGGTATTCAGGTCTTACCTTCGGAAATTTATTCTGGTTTTTTTTGATGATATTCTTGTGTACAGCAAGTCAATGGAAGACCACATGCAGCACCTCAGTCTCACATTTCAAAAGCTACGAGAACACCAATTAGTGGCCAACCGAAAAAAATGTTCCTTCGGGCAACCCCAATTAGAATATTTGGGCCATTTTATTTCAGCAGACGGATTGGCTGTGGATCCCTCTAAAATTGAGAGTATTGTCGATTGGCCCCGCCCGAAAGATATTAAAACACTCAGAGGGTTCCTTGGACTGACTGGGTACTACAGACGGTTTGTAAAAGGGTACGGTAAAATCGCACTTCCCCTGACTAACCTGTTAAAAAAGGATGCCTTCATTTGGGGTGAGCAACCTCAAGCCGCATTTGAAGCTCTGAAATCTGCCCTAACCAGTGTACCAGTGCTAAGAATGCCGAATTTCTCTAAACAGTTTGTTATTGAAACGGACGCATCGGGGTGTGGGTTGGGAGCTGTCTTAATGCAGGAAGGGAGGCCTCTTGCATTTCTCAGTAAAGGACTGTCTGCCAATTCAAAACTCAAATCAGTTTATGAAAGAGAATTGATGGCTATTGTGTTGGCAGTACAGAAATGGAGACATTATTTGTTAGGCCGATGCTTTCTCATCAGAACTGACCAGAAAAGCCTCCATTTCCTTACTGAACAGAGGTTGCTGAATGAAGACCAACAGAAATGGGTGTTAAAACTACTCGGGTTACAGTTTGAAATACAGTATTGACCCGGGCCAGAGAACAAAGCCGCTGATGCTTTATCCAGGCGGCCTGAAAGTGTGGAAATTAACGCCATATCAATGGGCTTTTTCGGACGGTTGGATGAATTGGAAGAGACCATCCAAAAAGATGACAAGTTGCGGCAACTCACCCAGCAGCTTATGGTCGACCCTCATTGCCATCCTCCTTTCAAGCTAATGGGTAGACACCTCATGTATCATAACAGGTTGGTTGTCCCGAAACAAAGCCCTCATATTCAAAAACTTTTGCATGAATTCCACTCATCCCCGATTAGAGGTCACTCTGGATTTTTCAGAACTTACAAACGGTTGATGAATGTGTTTTATTGGGATGGAATGAAGAGGGATATCCAGACGTATGTGAACTCCTGCAGTGTGTGTCAACAGAATAAATATAAAGCATTGCGGCCAGCCGGATTACTACAACCTCTCCCTATTCCTGTTCCGGTTTGGGAAGACATCTCTATGGACTTTATAGTGGGACTCCCAAAAGTGCACAATGTGGATATTATCCTGGTGGTAGTCGACAGACTCACTAAATACAACCATTTCCTCACACTCAGACACCCTTTTACAGCAAAGGAAGTGGCAGCAGCATTCATTAAAGATGTAGTTAAGCTTCATGGGTTTCCACGAACGATTGTGTCGGATCGCGATCGTGTGTTCATGAGCCATTTTTGGGGAGAATTGTTCAAGCAGGCTGGAACTAAACTTCATATGAGCTCAGCTTATCATCCACAGACGGATGGGGAGGTTGTTAATAGGTGTTTGGAATCTTATCTCCGCTGTTTTGTGGGAAATCAGCCTCGGCAGTGGCCTCACTGGATTCCGTGGGCAGAATTCTGGTTCAACACTACATATAGTAGCTCCACTGGTATGAGCCCTTTCAAAGCTTTATACGGATGAGATCCTCCAGCATTGCTGAAATACACAGACCATAGTTCTCCGGTGGATGAAGTTAATCAACAAATGCAGACCCGCAACAACATTTTACTTGAGCTTAAGGAAAATTTGCACAAAGCTCAAAACCGCATGACAACTTCTGCCAATGAAAAGAGAAGGGATGTCCAGTTTGAAGTGGGAGAATCTGCCTACCTGAAGCTACAACCTTACCGTCTGAAATCTCTAGCTTTCTGCTGCAATGAAAAGCTAAGTCCCAGGTTTTATGGCCCTTTCCAAGTCCTTGAGAAAATTGGATCAGCCGCTTACAGGTTAGAACTACCAGAAACTGCCCGTATCCATAATGCATTTCATGTGTCTCAACTTAAGAAGGCCAATTTTCCATCACCACATATTCAACCTCTTTCGGATTCGCTGAATGAGGACTTGGTCTTAGTTGTTGAACCGGAGGAAGTGCTTAAGCTCCGCAGGTTACTCAATGGGGAAAGGGAGGTTCTTGTTAAATGGAAGGGGTTACCCCACCATGAGAATACTTGGGAAGAATATGACACCCTGAAACTGCAATTTTCTTCATTCCACCTTGAGGACAAGGTGGCTCTCCCTCGGGAGGGTATTGATACAACACGCGAAGTGCGGGTGTACAAGAGGCGTGGGAAGAAGCACCAGGGGATCAATAGTGTTAAAAGAAGCAACTAAAGTGTGAATTGACGGTAGTGGGACAGGTGGCGAAAGATTACTGGGGGAGGGATAAATTCTGTTAGGAGAAGAAATGAATAAAGGGAGCAGCAGAGGAGTAAATAGGCATCGAGAGAGAAGTTAGGAAAAGGGGAGGTAGTTGGCCCTCGAAGTCCAGCATATCTGTTTCTATTATATTCTATTATTGGTTTCTCTTATTTTCATTGTTGGTTAATTAAATCCGATAGATCTTATATTTGAGATACTATCTAGATTAGTGTAATACTGAGTTATCAATGAAATACACCTCTTCTGTTATTCTAGAATTCTCGAGGTTGCAATGAACTGCTGTTTGTTTCTGTTATGAGCTATTGTGTGTGTGACTGACTGAGAAGTCTGGGTAGGTTCGCAACAAAATGTAAGAGAGGGAAAATAGACAGTACCTGACTTAATAAATTAGGAAGCATGTTTAAAGGAAATCTTAGCACTGCAAACAGAGAGAGTGATGTAAATGCCCTTGAGGGTGTCAAATCCCCACCCAGCAAAGTGAATGTTCCAAATGAAACCACTGTCACGACAACTGGGATGCTATTCAGTATAAAACTGTTAAACTGCAATAGAAGGGATCTAGTTAAAAGAATATAAAGTTATAATGAGATAATCAATGGCCCATCTAAATTTAAATTTAAACTGTATATTTTCTGCATACATAAGGGATCATCCATACGTGAAATTGATACATCATTTACTACTTTGGATGCAACTATATACAGAACTTGCCTAAAGAGTATACTAGTAAAAGGCAGTGACACCATTGCATAGGACATTGATAGAAGAAAGAAGATAGTATTTAAGATTGTGTTTCACATCATACCGCAGAAAGTAATTGTGCTTTACGAAACCATGACAACTCATCATTTCGCATACTTTGAACTCTAGATTGGAAGCTCTTCTCCCATGCATAGCATCTGAAACATTTCCAGCATAGTGTTTGAAAATCACTATCAAACATAAAATTTTTCAGAAATCTAAAGGCAATGCTTGTAAATCAATCATACTTTACGGTGTCCATGGCAGCCAGAATTTCATTCATGAGGCTGACTCTTTTGTCAGTCCGTTGCAGTCCTTCCTTAGTCAGTTTTTGCATTTTGCTAATGATGATTGTCTGTTCCATAAACCAATGAGAAAATTATATAGGATAATTAATGAAAGACGAGAAAAATGTTAAGCTTCTGAAGAACACTGATTTATATCTACATTTCCTGATTTAAGCTTAGTTCAACGAAGGGCACAAAAATAGGCACGAGAATGTCTCACAAATACAATGTTGTAGCCAGCGGTAGAGCCAGATGTTAAGTGCATTGGTGAAAATTGCAAATGGTAATTTACTATCAATAAACTTGAATATCCTTTACTTATGCTCTTAACAGTAGTTTTAGCACTTAGAAAGTAGTAGCATGTACTTTGGTACACACAGTTTTACTAGAAAGTTTACTATCAGTTCCATGACAAAACAAGATCTGCAGAAATAATGACAGAGATTTGACAAGGACAGAAATTTCTTACCTGTACTGGGACCATGAGCATTAGCATCAGTGATCCAAGGAGTGAAGCAACACCTAGTTGCTGGTAAAGAAGAACCATAGCTATTGTGATACGGAATGGAGCTGACCATAACCCATGAAGTTGTTGGCTTATTTGCTGAAAGAAGTTAAGGATGTATTAGTAAAAATTCAATCCCCTTTCCCCCACCCCAACCCAGGCATCTGGAAACGGTGGTGAAAAAAAAAAGGGAAGTAACCATAGCAGAGTTGCAGATTGTGGCAACATCACTTTCTATCACTGGAAATCTTGAAATGTATCACATCATATTAGATCATTGCATCTGCATTTAAGTGTGCCTTGGATTTTTCTTGCTAAGTGAACCAGCGATTCAGTTTAAATTATGTTGCCAATCAAAAAGTGACACTAGGACTCTCGTGCAATCATCTAACTCAAACCACCGATAAGCAACTAAGGACTTTATGATGCTGCCATGCTGCTCTAAGATCAGACTTGTATGCTTTAATCACTACTGGAAAGCTTGATAAGTTATCACTTAACCAAAAAGCTTGAATAAATAGGTACTAGTCCAACAGTAGCATTTACCATATAAGTTCTAACAAACACCTTTTTGACCAAAGTATAAGTTGAAAATCAAGACCCAAAATAGAACTTAAGCTCTAAGAGAGCCAAGTTATCTATCAATATGCTCAATTATGGGCACAATGCACTCATTTTAACGTTTTGAAATCTAAATTTTGTAGATATAAGGAGATCATTTATTGAGATAAAATTAATCAGCTCGTGATAATTATGATATAGGAAGCAACGGTGTATCAAGATTTATTTTCTAGATGTAAAAAATTTAAAGTCAAGTTACAAGAACCATACCTGAAGTGCATTCGCATCTGTTGTGATCATGTTAGTAATTTTGCCAGATGGGAAATTCTTGCGACTTTCATGAGTTAGTCTTAAAGATTTGCGAAATATGGCAGCCACCTATAATAATAATAGTAGAACATGAGGCACTAATTTCAACTTGACCAACTCATTCAGGAACCTTAATATAGCAATCTAGTGCCAGCAGCCAAACCAGAACCAAAAGGACAGACTCACAAGACATAATGAAAGAGAAAGATAATTTTACCAAAGTTGATCTCAGCCGAAAACCAACTCGCCAAACATTCTGAAAATACTGTGCTTCACATAGCACACCGATTGACTGATCCAAGTGAAATAAGCTTGTAAGTAACGAATATACAAACTATAATTGCAGCATAAGTAATCAGTTCTTCAAGTTAAAAAAATAATGTACATTCAGTTTCCTATTTAAGGAAAAACTGCAACATTATGTACGTAGCTCTTACAATTACAAGAGAATATGCACAAGAATTATTCTTTATGCAGGCATTGAAATTATTTAAGATGCAGGAGATGGCATTCATTTGTTGTCTATATGACATGGTTTGAGGAATGGAGGGACAAAAATGAAAAGATCACAGATATTTCCTTGAAATAGAACGAACTAGAAGTCAACCAAATAACATCACTAGAAGGGATAACAAGGAATTGATACTCAAAAAGAAGGTACGAAACATCATCACTAGAAAAATTAGAAAGAAATAATAAGAGAAAGAGCAAGTAAGAGTCTTACCACCCCAACGAAAATTAAGAAGGCGTAGACATAACCAATCCAGGCAGGATCACCTCTTTGCATTGACTGCAAGCCATAACAAGAGATTACAAATTCTGGGTTTCCAAAAAGAAAGGCAAATTTGAATCTACATTATTCGGTTAGTATGTACTAGAAGAATTACTTAGACTAAAGGAGCAAAAATATTTTCTTCCCTCACAAAAATAAGAGCCTTGATATATTGTACCTATGAGATTTATCAATGAAGTCTTGGCTAATAAAAAAAAAAAAATTGCTAACCTGCAAGAGGTGGTTCAAAAGAACAGGCCCCACAAACTGAGAGAGATCATTTCCAATCTACAACATGTTCAAAGAAGAATTAGAGTTGCAATAGATTTGTAAGAAACGAAGTGAATAGTATTTCTGACATGTAGCAGTCTAGACAAATCCTTTTAAGAAACTGCATGATGATGAAATAGAATGAAGATTTCAGACTTTCAGACAAATTATAGATGCCAAATATCCATATGGTAACAGTGCTTCACATTCGCAAGCCTTCATATGATTTGCAAGAAACTAAGACTGTTACACTAATGCCTTAGAATATTTGAAAAAGGAAAAGGAAAAAAAATCAGCTCACAAGGAGTAATGTTAAGATGAAGTATCAACGACTTGATATCAATCCATGAGAAGTAAGAAAATCGATTAATGTTTCTAAGTGCAAGTGAGAATGACAACTTTAGCAACATCTTTTTCAGCCAATTATATGGAGAAAATTCTCTTAGGGAATTGAAAAAATTTGGAGAAAATTTGCATCCAAGAAGTACAGAGAATGAGCTCGATACCTTGAAAAAACCTCCCAACCAGAACCTACAGATAATGATACAAAAGAAATAAAATGAGATAGCAGAAGACACAGATAAAAGCATCTCTGCTTTAAAAAAGAGCATTATGTCTAATTGAAGTTGAAAAAGCATAAACAATGTAGGTCAATCCAATACCTCCCACCGAGGCTACTATTCAGTGCTCTTAAAAGCCAGGGTTTAGGCCGTTGAGATTCTTTCACCCAACATTTCTGGAACCTGAAAATGCAAAACCACCCTTTTAGTCTCATCCAGTTGAAAAATGTAAAATACGGTGTAGAAAATACTAGCAGAAGAAAATCCAAGGATTGCAACAGATGCAAACTTTTCCATCAGAGTCTCAGTATGGTCCCATGTATCTAACTTCCAAACATCCTTTTCAGTGATAGGTTTCTTATACCCCAGCTGCATAAGTGGAGTCATCCATCCAAAATATATCCCTAAAAGAAGGCAATGCACCAAAATGTCAGTGAACAACTATAAGCATCAGGATATAAAAACCTTCATCTTACATTACATATAGGGGAAAACTAAATTCTCATAATTATCAGTCAGCTAAGAAACATGATAGATAATTGTGCAACTTAAAACACCTAAAGATCAATGCTCGTTGAATTACAAGTGTAGACTAGTGGCAATCTGGCCACAAATTCCTACAATTTCCCCCTTGTACAAAATAAGTCAGGATATCTTCAACCCTCTAGAATTATGGGTTTCTAAGAAACAAGAAAAGTCAATTCAGGAACTACTTACTGGAAAGTATACTGGCATTCCTCTCAGGACATACATGTTCTCCTCCAGGAAGTGCTTCATATTCAACATTATCGAGGGATTCATCTTGCAGCAGGTTGTAACCCGGATGAGATTGCAAATTGGGAACATAAATGAAAAGAAGAATCCCAAATAAAGCCTACATCAGAAAATAGACACAATTATATTGATTGACAAGCTTTCAAATGAATAAAGAAACAAGCTAAGGTTAATAAATTCTGCTACTATAAAACTTCACCATCTCTGGTCACTGAAAAGCGGTTGATTATAAATTTTATGATGTAACCTTGAAAGACATCTTGAACACATTCTTGGCGGAGTTACATTTGCCCAGAACAAAGTGTTGCAGTGGACTACCAAGCAGTCCCAGTATGGGGACTAGTCAGGCCATTTACTAGACAAGAAATGAGGTCAAGACCCTTGAAGGAGTCCACTGTGTTAATTCAACAAGCCGAGAAAACTATAACAGTTAGCATGCTGATAGTTCTTTGACATATACATTTCAGTAAGTGTTGGTTAACAAGAAAAGCAATAGCCATGCTGATATTGGTTTGAAAAATACATGTCAAATATTAAGTGTCCATAACCAGAGAACCGGCAATTTTTGAGGCCCTTGCCACAAAACCATACTTGATACTCTCTCATCAAAAACAGAAATTTAATAACTCATTATTGTATATACTTAATTTATCTACTTCTTATACAATTATTTAGATCAGGCCAAAAAGGGCTTCAGGTCCCTGGGTCTTTCAAGGTCAAGGAACATGTCTTTAAATAGCCTGAAGCAGAACCCAATTTGGCGCTTCAGTACAAAGACCATTTAGAACTATGACAGTGCAACGGAGCACAAAGGAAAACAAGAACAAGAAGTGGTGATAGACCTTGTAACCTTCACAAGAGGAAAAGAAAATAAAGAGGAAAAAAACCTGGCAAAAGACCATGCTGATGTACAAATAGAGAACAGATCTGCATTGAGTAATAAAACCATAAATTTTAGTATAAGAGACATTTCACTTCACAATGAAATTTAGTGAATAAGTAATTCATTTAATGAGGTGGAGAAAAAACTAACCTATTGTAGTATTCTATCATTGGAAGAATGAGATTTAGCACCACAGCATCCCCTATCAAAACATAAATGACTCCAAATCGCACATACCATCTAAACTCACGGACGTAAATTTTAGTTTCCAAAACAATCATTACAACCACAGAGCACCAAGCGAGAGCCTCAATCATCAAAGAAACCATCTGCAAGAGAAAATACAATTACTTTGAATATCTTAAGTAAAGGGAGGCCAAAATATTGCTTGTAGCATATAACTCGAATACCAACAATTAGAATTGAAATGATTTTGTAACATAGATCACATATTAGGAAACAAATGTTCTTGCCTAACTGTCAGCCAATTAACAAAGGAAAGAGCTTAATTCTGATAAGATTTAACTAGTTAGATTGGTTTTGGCAATGCATAAACATTGGCATTGTCTACTACACTTGTATTTCAAATCTTCAATGCATGAACCTATTGATGTCTAGCACTATTTAGCCAAAGAAAACAGTACAATGGATTCAGCTCACGTGGTGATTATGGAAAAGCATAAAAATTAAAGATAATGCAATTCATAATTTTGAACGTTCTAACTAATGTCAGTAGTAGATTGTAGACCAAAAACCATCAATTTTCAGTACATTTGATTTTGAGTGCACATGCTAAATTTGAAAGATAAAAGCCACAACAACAAGCCAGAGAAGCTAAAAAGAAACAAAACAACACAAAAACAGAACAGAACAATAAAACAAAAAAATACAAGAAACACCCACCTCAAAGGGAGCAAGACTAGTCTCTCCATCCAAGTTAAAGATAGAAATACCCATCACCAATCTTAGTAGAGGCTCAGCTGTACAATAACCAGCCAACAGTCCTAAAATATAATTGTAGTAATTCGAACTCAAAAGAAACCTTTTGGCTTTGGAACTTTTTCTAAGAAGCCATATTCGATAAATGCAAAGGCCAAAAAGAACCAAATGAGAAATGGAAATGACTAGAGAATCAACTGCACAAGTTGTGTATGCACCAAAAGCACTATCCACTGCTTTTGCCCAAAACCCATTTGCCACTGGCCTACAGTACCATTCCAATGGTTCAAAACCCATCCTTTATCACCTACAAAAAAATTCACAACTCAAGTTATACATTCATTATATATTGTACCTTATGATTAGATTCTGAGTTTACTAGATGTACTCACTCAATTCCTACAGCAATTGCTTAACTGCTCCACACAATGGACTACCTGCAAGAATAATAAACCAAGTTCATAATTAAAACTAAAAAAAAAGAAGCTACAAATTGCAGCTAAATTTGCATGATCAGAACAAAAAATAACATAAAATCCCATCTCTATTTAAACTTTTCCCAATTGCCTGATTGATTGATGAAACGAAAATGAAAGAAAATTTTATGAACACGCGTGTGGTTGAACTGAGTTTAAACAATAATTCCAAAAAATCAGTTTCTGAATACAATCTTAAAAACAAGATTAAATCAAAAAAGGAAAAGTAAGTCATAACCTTTTCAGAAGTTAAAAGTATTGAGATAACATTTGGATTTTTGAATTGTATTTGGATTTCCAGCCAAAAGGATCATCTTTGTACACAAACTTACAGAGAAAACAGAGGAAAAGAAAGAAACTATCGATTCAAATGTTTACTATTGTCAAAACTAAAGAACCCAATTCAGCCACTCAAAGTTCTAGTTCTATCATCCTCCAAACCACGTAAAACCGAAAACCCAGAATCATTTTTCTTTCTCTATAACAATTTTTGAACAACCAACCAAGCACAACACCACAACCTACAATAAACCACAAAACAGTATAACTAACAAGGATGAGAAGAAAGAAGAAACCTCTTTAAGCTCTAGCACTCTGGTATTTCTTCAGTGTACAAGTAGAAGAAGAAGTGAAACATGAAGAAAAGTCTCAAAGTAACGTGGTTTGCATGGTCCTTGCATTTATGCTTTTATACAAATGAGAGACTCCATGCCCATGAAAATAATAATAATACAACATTACCAAAGTAGAGTGTCAATAAAAGCAATGAAACAGAGTAAACAGACAACAATCCGTGGGCCTTACATGGCGTCATGGCTTACGTGAGGGAGCACTGTACAGAGATGGGGAACGATTTGGAGTGGAATCATTGATGCAGTTTATTCATTTTTTATTTTGTTGATTGGGTTTTTGACCTCTAATACACACTTGATTCAAACTCATATGACTCATTTCTGTGGACGTTGGAACCGGGGCGGGCGACTAATATATAGATTGTATATAAATATAATTCCAAACGACTCATTGCCAAATTTTTTATTTGTTACACAGGGTTGACCCGGTAAAGAATTTTTTGGGTTATTTATTATATATTTAGGACCTTGCTGTACTTACTGATTAGATTACCGATTTTGCTATACCGACCCACTGCCCAATTATTGACTTCTCAAAATTTATCTCAATTCACCAAAAATCAGTATGTCAAATCGGTTGTTGACTCGGTAGCTTTAGCATTATTGATATATTTATGACTTATCTTGACATTCAATAAGTTTTGAATTCGTTGAGACATCCCGATCACTATATATATATATATTCAAATTTTCACTTTACAAGAGGAGAAATTTTTTGCCCCCCATCCCATAGTTACCCAAGGACCAGTTTTTAACCACTATCTAAAACCGTAACGCCATCGTTAGAATTACAAGGGGTAAAATGATTTTTTTATTCTCTCCTTCCCCATTTTGTTCCCTCTTAGTTTTTCCTTTTTCTCTTTCTCCCCCTCCATTTTCTTGATTTCTTCCTCTCATTTTGGCCCTAACAAGTATGAAAACTGACAAAACAATCCCTACAAAATAGGTTTGTCATCTTCATGTTGAAACCCTAGCACATCCAACTAGTCGTTTTAGACTGTCGTTCCATGGCGGCCTTCCAAGGTTGCGACTCGAGCTTGCCCATCGCCGGTGAGTGCCTTGTGGGGACAACCAAGGTCCTAGCTTAAAGACCTAGCAAGGCGACACCTCTAATGGTGAGTTTCACACTATGGCCCACGACTTTGACGATAATAGAACGTCGATTTGGGTTGCCTGCAAGCTACCAGAACATAGTGAACAATGGGGCTGTTACTCTATGACACTTCCAAGTCTGGAATCTTAAGTCATGGATTCCTCAATTGGCATTGCTAGGGTTTCAACATGAAGATGACAAACCTAATTTGTACCTTGTAAGGACTCTTTGTTAGTCTCCATGCTTGTAGGGGCCAAACAGTAACGAGGGAGAAAGAGGAAAATAAATAAAAGAGGGGAAAAAAAGAGGAAAGGAATAAAAAACATTTTGCCCTTGTGTATTTTAACAGTGCTTGGATGATGTTATTTTTCTAGGGGTTGGTTGATTATTTTTCAAAACAGCTGGGATTAAAAAATTTAACTTTCGAAAACTATAGGGGGCAAGTTTTTCTTTCGAGATTACGAGGTATATTTAGTTCCATTTGATGCTTAAATATTATTATCGGATACTTAGTATCATATAATTTTTAATATAATGTGATATTTTTTAACAAATAATATTTTTTATCGAAAATGAAACCATTTGGCTACAGCAAGCTGGTAAAGTTTGGCTAAACCCTTCTCTTCTATGATCAAACAACTTTGTTTTCGGTTACAATGTTGGCACCATTGCATTGATCCTTGGCTACCGATCTCAATGGTGCCAATTGGTGTCAGTGGACTCATCATCGGTGATGGTGTCCAGCCAATGAATTCATCGACCGGTTTTTCCATTTTTTTATTTTAGAACATTAAAATTAATATATTTATAAATGAAAAGAACTTATTAAAAGAAAAAAAAAACCTATTTTAGTCATTTCACACATCCAAAATTATTCTCCTAAATTAACAAAAACAAACATTTAATAAAGTTTTATCAAAAGTGGTTTATAAGTGATTATGCAAAAGCTACAACAATCTTAAACTAAACGTTTTATCTCTAGGTCTTTTTGGGTTTGGTCTACTTTGTGTCTATTTTCTATCCAATTTATCTTAGTTTTGAAAATAAAAACATTTTAAATGAATGAATTCATTTTTTATATAACAAATACACCTAAAAATATGATATAACTAAATAAATTAATACTCATACAAGTAAAAATATATAGTTGTTCTAATTTCTTCTTTTTTAACATTTTTTGTTAAAGCTTTGTTGATATCAAGAAAAGTTAGTTAAAAATACACCAAAGCCATGGTTAATGAAAAAGGTTAACTATGGAAAATCATTAAATATATATATTTTTTAAATAAAATAAGTTTCATATACACTTTTAGGATTTTGTTAAAATTTTCTAAAGTTGCATGGACTTTTATTAAAAAAATAAATAAATAGTTGTTTTATTATTTATTTGTTTTTGGTGAACTTGTCTTATATGTGAAGGATATGTGGCTGAAAATAGCTCAAAGCTAGCAGACAGGAAAAGAAAACCACAGCTGCCTTATTGATGTCTTAAGTTGTTCTTTTATAAGCCTTATAATTTTAATAAATCAATTTGGATGTGATAAGCTCTATGCCCAATATCAACGAAATTACTATATGCAATTATTCTCAAATGACCACAAATTTCTTTTATAATTTAGTAAAAAAAAAAAGAAAAAGAAAGAGTAGTTATTAAGATTACAAAAAAGAAAAATTATGTAAGTAAATAAGACAACTAAAGGTAAATAAGAGGGCATATTTAGATAATAAAATTATATAAAGACATTTTAATTAAATTTACATGAAGATTAAAAAAAAAAATAGATCCATTAGATGATTTTTTATTTTTTTTTAAATATATTTGACATTATTTCATAAATGATAGAAAATACTTAATATAATTTGTTTCAATAACATTATATGATAAAAGAATTGAGGTGGACTTGGATCTTTGGATCACGTTAATTGGGTGACGTCACTGCTGACTTGGGCACTAATTGTATAAAAGAATATACCAACCTTATCTCCTTATAAAGCTATAAGAATATTAAAGTATAAAGGGAAAATTTCCCTTAAGTACCATAAATTTTGGAAATTAACATTACCATCCCAATATTAGTAATCCTAGACAACTTTAATAGATGACGGGTATATAGGTCATTTATAATTAGAGTATTACTACACATATAACATTTCTCATACAACATTATGTAATAAAGTATGATTAGCTGATTTTAAATTAAAATTAAATTTTTACCCAATCATCTTTTGCTACATAATGTTGTATGGGTAGTATTATTCTTATAATTAAAACAACAAGAGTGTTTTTGGGATTGTTGTAGCTTAAGAAAACAACTTTTAAAATTGGTAGGGGTAGCTTTTTAAAATCTAATTACTCTATAATCTGCTTTAAAATTTTTAATATAATACATTTTCTTTTTAAAATCCTAAAAAGACAATTTTATCCCTCTAATGTTTTTTTTTTTTTTTTTTTTTTTTTTTTTTTTTTTTTTTTTTTTATAAATCTGATTTCTATTCTTAGAAAAACCTAATATCTCCTTTAATTCTCATCCACAATTGTTGATCACTTAACTGTCAATCCATTGCCAAAAAATAAAATTCCACTGACTTCTCAATCTTTATCAATATAATAGATTCTCTTCTAATTAGATAGTGTTAGAGGATTTTAATTACCTTTTGTAATGAATTTCTAATAAATAAATTAGAAGTATATTTAAAAAGGTACTTCGATGATCAGCCCAGAAAAAAAAGATATAATCTCTTTAGAATTGTAAATATTCGGTAATTGATTGCTGTTGTAAAATTATCTATAATCCAATGATTTATAATGTAATGAAGTAACGTATAAAATAATAATATTAATAACAATAATGATAATAATAATGAAGATGAAAAAATGGTGTTACATTTTTAAGTCCAAAAATTAAGTTGATATAACTTAATCTGTCTAATCATAATATGCTTTTACATTAGTCTCTACATAAATTATCAAAAACAGAAAGAGTATTAAAAATCAGGAAAAAAGTATTAAAAGAATGTTTGACCCCGTTGACCCTGCAAAGACCTTGGTGACCATGGTGGGACTGGGGGGTTAATGTAGGAATTCTTACATGAATTATATTCAATTATAACAGTTACTCCCAATATCTGCATATTGATTATAGAATACTGAATTTCTGCTATAGCTTTTGAATTTCTTGAACTCCTTGCAAGTATTGACTGATCTTCCTTTCCATAAACGTTCCAGAATGACAACTTCCAAAGGGGGTTCAGTGTACAATCACATTTTAGAAAGGGGACCTAGCCAATTTCTATCAATTTATTGGGCCCTCCCATTAAAGGTCCAATAAACTCTAAAGCCCATTATAGGCTCAAGCCAACACTTGTCGTCAACCTAAATTATATAAAATGAAGTGTTTTGGGCAAATTTTGGAATGATCATACAAGCCCATCAGGATATCTCATTGTATTATACATTTACCTGGTTTTATCAAACCAAATCATAATTAATGTTAGCCCACAATTATGAATTTTCTAACATTCTCCCACTTGGGCAACATTAATTATTTCATTTTATTTTTAGAAAAGAAAACAATTTTGACTTTCGGGTAAACAAACTTTTAAACTTTAAAGTGGCCCCTGTTTGAAGAAAACAAAATAGTCCATAGATAACACTTCGACCAACAATCCAGTCAATATGATTATCAATAATGAACCAAGGCAATCTTTACATCTTAATTAATCGACATAAGATCAATCCATGATTACAATTACTAATAATTAAATCACATGGATCAGTAATATGGGAGTGTGGCAGGAAATAGCACCCAACAAGATGATCATAAACATGTGCTATTTTCCTGTTAGTACTCTTTATGATTTCTTTATAACCTTTATGCTTTAAAGAAAAGCTAGAGAAATCTCACAACTTCCAATGAAGCTTGTATGTTTCAAGATGAATGAGGCAAAAGATCAACTAACTCCCATGAGCATATCACTCAAACTA